AAATTAATTTGTTTCGTGAAACATCGAATATCAAACAGCAACAGCAATTACAACAACAGCCACCAGCAATGTTTAACCATAAGACAAATGGTGGTAGGTTCAGAGAGTGTGATATTTTGACCAAAATGTGAACACCAATCTGTTATGTTATTATTATTTGCTAAAACTTTGCGTAATACTTAGTTCAAAACAATTTGTTAAATGAATGAGAATCAAATACAAAGAGATATGCCTTATGATCTTCGAAAAATCGTCTTTCATATTTCATATGTGAATGATACTTATTCTTACTCTTTTAGGTTTATCTATGGGAGAAAATCAAAATACAAGATTGGTGAGTGTTCATTATATAATAGTTTATTTAAAACGAGATTGACCTTTTTTCTTCGTTTAGAAACGATCAGCTGGAGAAGACGACGATCGTCAGCAACAAGCATCCTTTGTAGGCTTTCGAACAGCCAGCGAACAAATGGACATCGACAGTGTCACACGACCAAATCAACTATCATCGGCTTCCTACAAAACAAACACTGAATGTAGTCAACCAAATGTTAAAAAATCATTGGGAGTGGGTGCAGCGAGGTAAACTCCTGTCTTTTTTAAAGAAATAAAATTTTTATTTTTGTCTCTTTTCAGACGAAATATTAACAATAAATTTGTTGTTCCAGTGTCGCGACCCACAAAAGAGGATGAAATGGCATTAGATGAAAAACCAACAGATGTTCTTGCCGCAGTAAAACCTGAAGTAAGTTTTAGCCTGAATACCTATATTGTGAAGATCTTTCTAGCCAGAGCGACGTATTCAAATGAAAAGTGGTTAACTAATTAATCTATGTGGATCTGATTAACTCAAAAGTTCTCGTATTTTTGTTTCTTTAAAGGAGAAAAAATATGAAGGACTCAATTTTGAAAAAGATCTATGTGCTTCGTTGGAACGTGATATTGTACAAAAAAATCCAAATGTTCATTGGTAAGTGTAAAAACTGAAAATAATTTGTTTTATCTTGTTTTTATTTAGGACCGATATTGCTGGATGTATGATTGCAAAGAATCTCCTTAATGAAGCTGTCATCTTTCCATTATTAATGCCCGAGTTTTTTAAAGGCATTCGTCGACCGTGGAAAGTAAGTATAGACACGAAAATAAGTGCTTTAATATATTTAAATCTAATCTCTTGTAGGGAGTGATGTTATTTGGACCACCAGGCACAGGAAAGACAATGTTGGCAAAAGCTGTGGCTACAGAATGTAATACAACCTTCTTCAATGTCGCATCATCAAGTTTAACGTCAAAATATCATGGTGAATCAGAAAAATTGGTTCGTTGTCTATTTGAATTAGCAAAATTATATGCACCATCAACTGTATTTATCGATGAAATTGATTCATTATGTTCACGACGTGGTACATCAAATGAAGATGAAGTTTCAAGACGTGTTAAATCAGAATTATTAGTACAAATGGATGGTGTAGCGGGTGCATTAGGTAGTTTGCTCAAAAAGTACTTTGATAAAACTATTCTTCTCTAAAATGTTTTAGGTGGTGACGATTCGTCAAAAATGGTTATGGTTTTGGGTGCTACAAATCATCCGTGGGATATTGATGATGCATTAAGAAGACGATTAGAAAAACGAATCTATATACCGTTACCAGATATTGAAACAAGAAAACAATTGTTAGAAATTAATTTAAATGATGTACAATTAGATGAAGATGTTAATTTAGATTTGTTAGCTGAACAATTAGAAGGTTATTCTGGGTCCGATATTACAAACGTTTGTCGGTAAGTTTAATAGTGAAAAAAAATTTGTTCTAAACACAAAAGTTATAATTTTTAAATTAGCCATTTTGTAATTGTTACAAAAATCATACAGATTTATCTATTTAATTTTTCGGTAGATAAATTCTTTTCCAAAACATCATACGAAAATTTTTCTGTTTAGAGACGCTGCTATGATGAATATGCGCCGTATTACGTTAAATTTAAGTATGGCACAAGTTCATAATATTTCACGAGAAATGAAAGAACAATTTAATACACCAACAAAAATGACGGATTTTCTAAATGCAATATCGAAAGTTTCATCATCGGTATCGAAAGATGCTTTGGCTAAATATGAACAATGGATGAAAGAATATGGATCAGCGTAATTAGTTAAATTTTTTTGATCTATTTATCAGGTATATATATATATATATGAATTTTTTTTCTTGTATTTAAAACTAGTCAAAAAAGATATTTTTCAGTAGTACGTTTTTTGGGTTGCTGTGTTTGTGATAAAGTCATTGTAATGAGTTAAACTTAGCTTTATCGATCTTATGAAGATATAAAACAACAACCATACATTGTTTTTTTTAAATTTAATTCAACGTTAAGATAAACAAACAATATTTTTTGTTGTAAGTAGTCTAAATATTCATTCGAATTTGGCACATCGAAAGATATAGTCATATGATAAACGCTGTAGATAAACTGTCTGACGAAAATGATGTTACCAATCCTGCACAACAACTTCTCCCTTCTACATAATCTAATGACCAATGCCATGACGAAAAGAAAAGAAAAGGCAGAGTTTTGAGAATATTCTAGCAGACAGTGTTAAATACATCTGGGAGAGGGACTGGAAGACCTAAGTGACTGATAAACTTCTCATCTGATGAAATACACTTGAAAAGTCAGTGGAGTTTATATATTTATGCGGCTCAATACATAAACTCTTCAATTTTTAAGCTTTGAGCTTCCAAAAAATATTATATTTAGTAACACTGTAGGCTTTTTTTAGGTAATCTCTTGTTCTTTAGTTGTTTTGTGATATCGAAGAAGTGATTTTACACTGTCGATGGTACACATCGTGCCCGTCAAATCTCCGTATGAACTCAAAATTTTCATTTCAGTCCACGGACTCAAACTTCCGAGACTGGTGCAAACCTAATTCATTCGAAACGTTTTTCCCATTCTGTAGACTAGAGAGTTAGCGTCCAGTTCAGTCCACAAAATAATCTTTCAGATGAAGTCTATATGCTCAGTTTTTAAGATTGATACTATTGTTGGTAAATAGAATAGTCTCCAATGACTTTCTGAGTAACGTTTGACAGGAAAATGATTGAGGCTTACGATCTTCTCCTATCGAAATTCAAGACCTGACAGCATTTTTTTTTAATGAAAGATTTTATGAAAATCTTCTTAGGTTTTTCTACTGAAGTTTGGAAAACTCGTTGATATGTAACTTGGGCTGCTCTACATATACTTCAACATCGAAACCAGATAAAGTTTGAAAAAACGGTTTGGTTTTGTGATTGTATTTTCAGAAAATTTTTAAGCATGAAAATGGCTTTCTTGTGTATCTTGTCTCAGAATTATGCCTGTAATACAAAATGATGTATCTTTTGAAATTTTTATGTCATTATAATCAGTTTTGACGAAGTTATGAACTATTTAGTGTTAGATGGAAATAGTCTAGAATGAATTATTTCATATTTAATCAGTTTTCGCAAACTAATTATATATGGGTACTTTCATTCAGTTTTGCACCAGTATTATATGACATATTTGCTGTACAAATTGTACTATGCCTATCCCGTAAAGGATGACAAATTAAACAAGGATGTTGTTGTTCGTTTTTGAAGAAATATGTGGCACATAATTTTTCAGAGTCAAAACTATCTCCTATCAGAATGAAACTAAAACAAGACTAATTCTAATGGCAAAATAATTAGCTGGATAACTATTGTCGTTTTCCAGCGTTCCGAAAGTTTTTTGGACTAAGGTACACCGAATGCAAAAGCGGAGTGGATGATATATGTTTTGAAATTTTTCGTTGATTTCATTTTTTTTATGAAAATCTCAGTAATTATATTCGACGTGAAAGAATTCAAAAATAAAATGTGATCGACTAGGAAAAAAAAATTACATCATTCGGCTCAATTTTCGACGCTGATTCCGAATATGGCATTTTCATTCCGCAAAAGTTGAGTTCTGATGGAGAAAATTAGGGGCAGAATTCCGATTTTCCCCACTAAAATCGACTTTTCTCAGCGAGGAAAGAAAATTTTACAAAACCGATACACATTTTTATTCCTTGCCAGTTGACGATTCGAATGATATATGAAGGGACATTTTATCTCTTCAGACAAAAAACTAGACAAGTTTGCAAGGTTCGAGGGTCAATGTGTCTCGAGGCGGCCCTATTCGAGCTTGCGGAACGAAATAGTTACGCTGAAATTCGATGGCACGTACATAGCCGTACTCAGTTTTTGATGCTGAATCTGAATAAAATAGTTTCGGGAACGTGGAATTAAATTAAAGTGCCAGAATCTTGCATTTTCTCCATATCGCTCAAATTTTGGTTTTTTGAGAGATAACTTGTATTTTGAAGATTTTTTACCCAAAATACGGTCTGAAAAAATGGCAGACCACATATTCTTGATCAGCTCGATGAACTCTATCGAACCATGTATGAATCGAGCGAAGTCAAACTCTATTTCAAACATTTCGTTTGTTTTAACAAGATTTTATTAGCGTTGGTAATACGATAGAATCTGAGTTTATACGGGAGTTTACAAAGCGATGTAAAAAGCAGAATAGGATAATTTTACAAAGAAGATTATCAATAAGCATTAGGATTTTTATTAGAAATAAATGATTAATAACGATTTTACCGTAAGGTAGCTCTTTGAATAAGATGATGAAACTAAAAGCTCTTTATTGTTTTTATTCTCAGGATTTAATAATATCTGTCACATTTGGTTATTTGAAATTGGACACTGGTAATTATTTACAGCCGCTTTTGTGACATATAGTTCGATCCAGATAATATTTCCTTTTCTTTAAGCAATCTTTCAGATAAAAATTGGTTTTTTCTTTTACTGCGACTTAGTTTAGAGAGAGTTTCTGATATTTGACTATCGCCGGGAATAAATATAAGTGTTCTTCTGTAAGATATTTCATCCTTTTTCAGGATCAACCTTATTTTATTAGCAGGCCGAGGCGCCTGTCATATATATATATATGTACGTACAGAGCTTTTTTAATTTTTTCAATGCGAATTCTGTCGAGGCTCTTTGTTGTCTCCTTTTTATTTCTGATCATCTTTTTCGGCAGCGTCATCATAATAACGAGTCACTAATATCTTTATTTGCACGTTTTATCTGATTATTAACGATTTAAAGGTACCTCTCCTCCGCATTCATTTCTGAAGCTTCGTAAAATCACTGCCAAAATATATCTACTTTAGACAACTTGCTTAAAATTTCAGTCAGGATATTGCTGTTGTCTTTCTATGAAGAAGATTGGAAAAGTAATAGTAATTGTAGTCGCCTTTAGATTTCTCCATGAAATTCTAGAACTTTGATTGAGCATAGATAGATAATCATTTGGATTCGCTACTTTTCTATATTAGTCGACATTATATGCAGAAACCGCGACGAAAAAAATTTGTACTGTCCGTTGTTTCACATTCTGTTATTTTATTTCAAATATTATATTTAATTATTGTTTAGAAAAATATGACCACAAATAACAAGAAATAGAAAAATAAAACACACGGTCGCTAGAAATTACAAGTAAAACGGTGAGCAAAAACGAACTAATTTATTAAAACCTAATGTACATTTATACAGAAAAAGAATACCGGATCGCAAGGAAAGAAATAATCAGTTTCTCATTGAATAAGCTGTTGTAATTCTTGACGACATTTTTTTACATTGTTCGTATTTGATGCTGACGATATTAAGGTAATTTTCAAAACTAAAACCAAAACTGCAGCAATATTTCATCGTTTACTATTTTAATTATATACTTACCATTTTGCGGTGAACTGTCCATTGGATGTTGTTGATGAGCTGGATTCGTTCGTTTTGTTCTAAGAGCATTCAACTGTTTGCAAAATTCATTATAAACTGGTCGTTGCTGTGGTAACAATACAAATGATATCGAAAACTTAGATGGATATTTCATTAATAAGTTTTCAGCTTCATCTATCATTATATCAGCAATGAAGTCAGCTGGTACACCAAACTTTCCACAACCAATGGCTGGAAATGCTAAAAATAGTCAAAAGAACGCTATCTTTATTGACAGCGAAAGATAAACAATTACTCTTACCAATACTTGTACAACCAATGTTCAATGCATGTACAACCGCATCGGAAACAAACGTACGAATCGATTTTTGTAGCATATTTTGATCTTTTTGGTGAGGTGTCCATGGAATGAATAGAATTCTCTTACATGGTAAGGAACCAGATGACGTTTCAATTATTTTAGAACTCACAGATGACTGATTTGTGAATTCATCATTAACTTGTCGACCAGCAACATCAATTATGGCTTTACGTAAAACATCAGACGTTGAACACACAACAACAGCGTCAACCTAAAATATCGACACATTACAAGAATAAACAGTATCTTTTTTGACAGAAAACCCTCGGATTACCGATTGTGTTGTTAAATCACCAGAACGAACATGAATTGTTCCTTGATGAATGTTCACATTTGTTGTTGTTGTTGTTGAAGATAACGTGGATGAACTATTTGTATGTTGAGATTGAGTTTGAGTTTGTTCAATTTTCATCTCTAGTAGACAATGAAATTTCTGTGCTACATCGTCGAACCGCTGTTTTTGTGTTTGAGAAAGAGACTGAGGACATTTGATATCAAATCGTGTTATATCAATTTGTGAATTTTCTAATAGAAACAATTTAATTTTTTCATGTAAATCAATAGGTGCTTTAAATTCAGAATTTTGTAATTTTGAAGTAATTTCGACGCTATCATCGCTATGTTGTTTCTCCAATACTTTCAATTTATCATGGCAAACTTTTAATAAATAATTGATCTACAAAAGAAACAAGTTCATCTAGAGTTAAAAGTGTATAGTCGAAAACAGACATACTTGATTTGGATTTAATGTTGTTTTACATAATTTTGGTTCAAGATCTTTTTTTAGATTTTCAAAAGTTGAATGCACTTCTTTGACAATATCTGGTAAACCAAATAGATGAATGGCATGTGGTTCAGATGCAAAACAAATATTTTTATTATAATCTGGACGATCATGTATTATTTTTTCATATTCTTGCCACTTTTTTAACAATTTTGTCGATGATGATGATATTTGAGAGGATAATGAGAGAAAGATATTAAGAATATCATCAATTTGTGTTGGATCCAAACCAAATTGCGGACTATTTGAAAAATAACTAACTGTGATACCCTTTTTTGTCGAATGTTGGCATATACAGATAATGTCATTTTTGTTCAAATATTCTTGAATGACATAAATTGAATCAGGAATCTTTATTGTCCAATTACCAGCTAAAGAAGAAGAAAAATATATATAAAAGAAATACACTTGATGATTTATTATTTATACCTGTTTTATCATCAAATATTTTTATTTGAAGAGATAAAAATAAATTTCCAATAGCGTCTCGTGCTGAACAAATATCATTATTTCTTCCGGTAATTTCGAGTACGATTTTTGTATCACGAATAACTGTCATATTTACCTTAAATGTACATTGTAAATAATATTTTAAACGTTCTTCAAATTTTTGAAGACTAAAAAATTGTAAATGTGAACTATTTTCAATTGGATAATGAATTTTTTCCATTGAATGTAACGGTTTATCTCTAACAATAAAAAGATAAAATAGATTATGTAATTCATTTGATACAACAAACATACTTGTCAATAAATGGTGATTGTTGAGAATCAGTTTGCTCTTGAATAGAAGATCGTCTAAAAGAAATAGAAGATGATTAAAGGTACAAACATTTCATTTTCTATAATTGACTAACTGTTCATTTGTTTCTTTTATTTTTATAGACGATAACGAATCAACAGATGTTGATTGTTGTATCGATGATAACCGATTTTGTGTTGGAAATAATTTATTAATAAGATTATTTCTACCAATTACAAAATAAATATTATCTTTCATCTTTTTATATGACAATACTTGAGAATGTTCTTTTAATATATTTAATTCACTATTTTTTAATTTACACTCTCTCGATTGAAAATATTGCATAAAATTATTTATTCTATTTACTAATATACTCTCCGGTGTTTGAAATCGCGTATTACTATAAAAATGTAAATTATTTGTTGTAACAATATTATCATGTACTTCAATATCACAATTCAGCTGAGCTTCTAAATAATAGAAAAAGACAGTAAATTAATGAAATGACAGAATAAACTCGTTATCTCACTTATATATTGTATTAATTCAGTTTGAAATACGGGATGTGCAGCTACAACAGCCCACTCTTGTTTAAGATAAATGTTTACTTCCTTTCCTGTTTTCCTTTCCTGTTTTTCTTGTTCACTCTTTTCATCGTTATTGTAATCTAAACAATGACAACAAATAGACATTAAACTTATTTTCATTTAAATTTGAAAAGTTAATTTCAAACACACTTTTTTCACTCTGTTTTCGTTGTGATTGGGATAACAACGGTGATAATTGTTGTTGTTGTTGTTGTGATTCTTGTTTTTGATCATCAGTTTTATCACATTGCTCATCGACAAGATCAATAATTGGACGCATAAATAATTCAAACTCTTTTTCAAATTTATGTGATTCCAGTAACCATTTGTTTAAACCTAATAAAGTTAATAGGAAACCTTCATATCAAATTTCTTACATTAGCACTTACAATCGAAATTTATTAATTCAATATCTACATTTATTCCGTTATTCGTAATTGTAAAACAGAATACATCTGACCACAACGATCCAAAAACTAATTTTAATAAATCCAATGTTATCTGCTGTTCGTTCACAAATCCAACTTCAATGGTATCCGCTTCATAAACTTCACCTATTCTTATAACTTTATTTTGTAATTTATTTTTTAATGAATATACTTTATGTACTTTTTCAAAATCTAAATAAAATAAATCTATTTTAGAAATTTGAAAGAAAATATGCTATGATTTACCATACCAATTTGTTGTTCACATTTAATTAATAATATTTGTTCATTGAAATTTTCATTATTCGATGAATTTGTCATATCTGTCACGATTGTCGGTTTTCCAACTAAAGCTTCAACGTACAACTCAACTCTCGACGGATCAAGTTTAGTATCAGTTAATATTTTTAATGTAAAACTTTGTTTATCAATTTGTCGTAATGTACGCTTTATTTTCAACTCAACATTAGCATAGGTTATAACAGGATGAGTCAGTAATTGATCAACACCTAAAATCAACAAAAAAACAACAAGAGAATAGTATCTAGCATTGTCACAAATAAAAAGTTATAATTCTTTTTCTTATTTTAGGAATTAAGACTGTTCACATAAACCTACTTTGCCTATTATCAAATTCTATTGTATAACGTCGATAATTTTCGTCTGCCGTTTCATTTACAATTTGTTTGACAGAACCGTTACCCTTACATTTATTGTCTAATATCAATTCAACCATTTCAAAGTCCATATTTGGAGCAAATTTTTCCGATGGAATAATAACGTCTATTTGTCTAGTTTTATTAGAATTCGTTGATGTTTGACCATCTGGAATTTTAGGAAGAGTAGTAGTATCAGAAGATTTACAAATTGTATCGTTTTGTCTCCTGATATTTTCTTCTGACGTTTCTCTTAAACTTGACATTGTACTAGTTTTACTATCTTTTATTTGTAAACCATTTGTTTTCCCTGTTGTTTTAGGATGCAGTGGATAATTATTTAATGATTGCTTGTCTATATTAACAAGAGATGAAGATTTTTCACCTAAATTAACTCTCTAAAAGAAAAAATGCATCGTTCATATTTATTAATATAGTTGTCGGAGGAATATTATTAACGCTCAGATGGAACGATTCTCGACGACGTACTGATGTCCACATATTGCGTCTATATTTTCTTAGAATATTTCTCGAAAACGTTAGACAAATATCCATCGATATGAATACGCGACGTACCTTTGAATCATATTCTCGATGAAGTCTTAGTAAATCGAGTAAGGCAACTTGATCAATTTCCAAACATTTATTATCTTTTAATATGAACGTATTATTTACTCTATCACTTAATTTATGTGGAAATTTACATATAAATCGTTCTGAATCTTCGCTTTGGGACGGTTTTAAACTTTTACAATTTTGACCAAATCGACAAACATGTAGATGAGGACACGATTTATTGTAACAATCACCATTCAAAAATCCTTCACACAAACAGAGCTATAATATAAAAGAAGAAGAATTTATATATTTTCATAAATCGACTATACTCACATTTTCTGGTTGAAATTTAATGGTGTAGATGCCACCTTTATTCAGACATAATTTTAATAATTTTTGTGTCGATAATTGTTTTTGTAGAGCTTCTTCGGTACAGTTCAAAGTATGACATAGTTCCTTGACGGTTATTTCAATTTTTTTTTGTGTAACAAGTACACGAAGTATATCATTAAGCAGTTCCATGCTAGATTTGAAAGTTCTGATTAAAAAAAGATGTTTTAAGAAACAGCACACCTCTAGACATCTGAAATAGTGAAATGAACTATTAGGAAATAAATAAAAATAATGAATAATTTCCTTATCCTGAAATAATACTAATAAACTGAGGAATACTGTAGAATATTTTTTGTTTATTTCTTCGTTTCTCTCTTTGTGTAAATTAGAAACAAAGTTTTCATTGGAAAATCGGTTTTAAATAACTAACTTAAATCGGAGATATAAAAATATTCATCAAAAGAACGAATAACACGAGTATCTATCTATAAATAATAACACTTGATAATAAAAACCACAAATCTATTTTCAAGAACATAAATGTCCATTATTATTCTATAATATATTATACATATATAAAATAAGCGGATATTGAATTCATCTAAAAAAAATAAGATAAATAATACCTGACGCCAAGACCGTCAATCAACTAGCAAATTTAACAGTTTTCTAAACTATTTTCCGTTAAAAAAAGTGTTAAATACAGAGATATTTTCACGGTCAACAGAAACTTCCTTAGTACTTTATCCGCTAGTACTTTATGTCTTAAATAGTGTCTCATTTCGTTTACTGTTATTTTTTGTTTTTTTTTCTATTACATCATCATTAATAAACAACTGCTTAGATCAAACTTCGTTACCTTTCAATTGGCATAATCCATCTGAATACTCAAATATTATATTTATACAATAAACTAAAATATATTTTCTAGTATATTAATAAAAAACAGAAATTTTTACTTGATACATCTAGAAATTTAACTGATTCGTACGAGAAAAAATCTAGAAAATACATATTCATTCGGAACAAAAAAAAAAACAGTTTTTTTCCAACCATTAAAACCGCACTGGAACGAAAGAGTATAACAACAACAAAAAAGTAAAAGATAGAATGATGTATCACCAGGATTTGTTTAACAAAAATTATCCATTATTCTCTTTACAAAACATCACAAAAACAGAAAAATTGCTTTGAAAGACAAGTTTACAAGTATCTCTCTATTTGATAATCAACGTCTGTTTCATATTTATTTATATGTAATAAGATAATCAGCATATGATTGTGCGTCGTGATAAACAACAAAGATTCCTTGGTCTTTACTAGTTGTAGTATCCCAGCCGGTTGGTGGCACTTTTATAGACGGATCGCCAACCATTGTATTTCCAATTAGTACACGTGCCAAAAACGTTGTTCTCTCACCCCTCGCATTGGGTTTTGCAAAAGCGTGTGAATATAAGGCACTTGTAGCAAAATAAACACCCCATCCGTAGGCAATTCCTACAATAGTAAACATCGACACGTGTTAGGGAAAGATTTGTGACATAGCCAGTTAAGCTTTGCCTACAGGGACCGTGAGACACCCGAAACTGAAGAAAGTAAGGCCAAAGATGTTTACAGAACAGAATGAAGCACATGAGATATAATAAAATTATTTGAAATTAGTCAACAATGAGAAACACGTCTCGGTAGAAAACGTGTCAATATCGGAACAAAAATGCCCGTTATTCGTTATATTACACAAAATGGTAACATTTTTGAATTGTCTTCAAACCATTCAGATATGTACTAGAAAATTTTCGTTGTAACTTGTACAGTTTAAACTTATGTTCACTAAGTTATACTATGGAAAATTTGTTCTCAAACGTCTACCGAATTGCCCGTGTCAGAGGAATGAGTTTTTTTTTTGATTGTTTCAATAGGACTTTAAGGATAACAGTTCAAGTTTTAAGATTTAACATATTTTATATAGTGTGCTGTTAATGGATTGAGTGAATTAATTACGACAAACACCATTTGTGCTATTTATAGCTTTGACTCACCGTTGACTCCAGCAAACGACCGATTGAAACATTCTTGAACGATCTTATCAGCAGTTGTATCAAGACAACCATGAAACAATAATTTCTCATTATTGTTTATTGCGTTATTTTGTTTATTACGTAGATTAAATTCGTCACGGTGTGCCGCATATTGTTTAAACCATCGTTCATTTTGAATTCGTTCAATTTTCACTATTTGTACATAATTACCGCGCATCGTTACATCAAATAAGTTCAAAACTTTTGCATATTCAGGTGATCCTGTTTTTAATTGAACACGTTTACAATTGACATCTGAAGTTTCCCAATTCTATAAGTATGAAAACAATGAACATTTCACAAAAAAAATTCATAGCAAAGTATAAACGTACATCTGGTAAATTTTGATTAATTACTTTTCGTTGTATATTTCGTGTTGTTTTTGAAGATTCTTCACACATTTGATTTTTATCAAATTTAATACGAACTTGTTCTTTACTTTCATTTTGCAAATCGATCTAAAGAAACGGCCATGAAATTGAGCTGGACTATTTCGTAGGTTACACTTACATATGGAGACTTTCTCTGATACGCATCTTCAATTTCCGCATTCATTTTATATGAATATTGTTCCCATTGTCCATCGTTTGGTGTCAGCTCAACTGACCAAATAATACCCCGCGATAAGACATGTTTATGTGCTTGTTTCAATGTTTCTGTCACCAATTCATAATAGTATTTTTCCGCTTGATCGACATCATCTTTCGGACCATTTAATTCGAGTACACCATTCGATATGTCCAATATCGGTTCTATTTTTCGATCAAGGCAATATTTATAATATTTATCTACTGTCGACTGGGTCCAATCTTTTAAATCTTGTTTATTACTCAATTTGAGTTTCAATGTACATTTTTTACTTAATTCTAAAAGAGAATTATAACATCGGATTATATGTTCTTCAGTTGAACTTATTAATGTAATTTTGACGACTAAAAGCAGAAAATAGATATAATTATTTTCAATTTTCAATTTTATCTATAAACTACTTTGTTGTTCAAAAGGCATTGTTATATGAGATCGTGAAACATTTCCGGAATTCAAATTTGTAGGTATTAGGGAAAAGTTTGCAGATTTGATGAGATTTAACTGTTTACAAAATTCATCGTAGACAGATTGTTGTTGAGGTAATAAAACAAATGATACTGAAAAATTATCTTTTGGATATTTTATCAATTGTCTTTCGGCTTCAGATATCATTGCTTCACCAATTATATCAGGTTTTATACCAAATTTTCCACAACCAATCGCTGGAAATGCTATAAAAGATGAACATATAGCAACATTAAATATGTTTTAATCTCATATTTTATTCTTACCAATACTTTTGTACTTATTTTTAAATGCATACGTGATTGCTTCTGATACAAAATCAGAAATTGATTGTTTGTTTGATTGAAACAAATTTACATCTTTTGCTTGTGGAGACCATTGGAGAAATATTATTTTTTTACAAGCCAGGAGACCAGGTGATGTTTCAATTAAGTTTGTTGTTTGATAATTATTTACAAAGTTGACCAATTCATCCGAAACTTGTTGTCCAGCTGCTTTAAGCACTGCATTTTTCAAGACTTCCGATGTTAAATTAACAACAATAACATCATCCTAGTATTAAAAAAAGAATAATGGGATATTTAACAACATACTTTAAACAAATATATCTATCTACTTTTCTTGTTGTTAAATCATCTAAACAAACACGAATTACTCCCATATTAATATTAACACTTGTTACTAATTGAGAGGACGATGTTGGAATAGCAGAAGCGCACGCTCCTCCTTGTATTTTTTGTTCATTGTCATTATTATCAACTGTATGTGCCTTAGGAACTTTAACTTGTACTTGCGTTGTTTCAATTTTCGTTGTAACATAACATCGACATTCTCGAGCTTTATCAATAATAATAGATTTTTGATTTTGAATTAAGGAAGCAAAACCAGGTTCACAAATGTCGAATGTTGATGTTGTTATTTGTGCATATTCTAATATACGTAATTTTAAGTTTTCGAACATATTAATCGGTGCTAATATTTCACTATTTTTCAATTTTGACATAATTTCAACTCCATCCATTTTATGTTTTTCATCTAATGCTTTTAAATCTGAAGAGCATACATTTAACAAATATTTTATCTAAAAGATAAAAAGAAAATAAGAATATAATAGCGATTTACATCTCTTTAGAAACATAATATACTTGATTTTGATTTAATGTTAATTTAAATAATTTTGTTTCATGCTCTGTTTTCAATTTTTCAAATGTTGCATGAAGTTCTTTGACTATTGCTGGTAAACCAAATAAATAAATTGATTTTTCTTCAGATAACAAACAAATTTGTTGATTATAATCTGGACGATTTCGTATTTTTTTTTCACAATCTTGCCATTTCTCTTTTAATTTTGATGATGATAACAATGATTGATAGGAAGTTGTGGCAGATAAAAATGTTCCATTAATTATTTCATCAATTTGTGATTTATCAACACCAAACTGTGCATTTTTTTGATTAAAATAATGTATAATTAAAGAATTTTTCGAATATGTACAACAGCATAAAACATTTTTACTATTCATATGGTGTTGAATTACATGAGCGGAATCAGCGATTTTTGTCCATGTACCAACTAAAAAAACAAAAATAGTACATGATACAGTATGTGAGTACAGGATCATGTTGTCTATTTAGAATATACCAGTTTTTTCACTAAACACTTTCGTTTCCAAAGAGGAAAACAGTCCATCTATAGCTGTTCTAGCCGACGATACATCATTTATTTCACCGATTATTTTTATTATAATTCGATAATTCTTTTGCTGTTGTTGTTTATCATTAGCATCTTTACCAATATTAGATTCAATACTACTTTTAACATTGTATGCACCTTGAAGATAATTTGAAAAACGCTCTTCGAATGATTTCATTAAAAAAAATTGAACATGCGATTGAGCATCAATTGGATATTGAATAGACTCAAGTAACGGTTGATGAGGTACAGGTAGTGATCTAAAAAGACAAAAATTCAAACATTAATTAAATCCGTATAAAACAACTGCTCGCATGATTATGTACCGTTTCTCAACTGTTTTCACATTCGAAATTATTGGTGATAGAAATTGAGCAGTGTCAGGAGAGGACAATTGTTGATGTTGTTGTTGTTGTTGTTGCTGTGGTAGTGGTCGTTCAGTTATTCTTTCAGGTATTAATCGAGAACATAAATACGGAAATAATTCATTCATAGTATCATAATTAGATGCTAAAGAATAGGCATTTTTATCTGGTATTCTTTGAAAGGCGATTCGATGTGAATTTGCATTAAGCAAATGTATATTTGCCATAGATGGTCTATTTAATTGTTTAAAAACAAATCCTTGCATAAAAGTGTTCGTTCTATTGTATAACACTTGTCTGTTTGAAGTATTTAAAGGCGCATTTATTAATGCAACCATCGATCCATTAATTTGTACATCAAAACCAATTGAGGCTTCTAAAAATAAGAAAAAAAGAATATTTTTGATTTTTTTCTACCAGAAATAGATACCACCTGAAAAAAATATGTTCAAGAAATCGCTTACTTAGATACTCTTTATATTGCACTTGGAATGTCGGATGACATAAGATTAAGGTCCACTCTGGTTTCAGATTAATGTATGGTTGTTCATCTGACGATGTTGCAACTACCGATGGTGTTATAGTTGTTTTCGCCAAATTTTCTGATAGTTCAGTCAAAACGACTGAGTGTGTATCCACAACATCACCCAGATCCTTCTCCACAAAAGCAAATATAGGTCTAATAGATATACCAAATTGTTTTTCATATTCATCAGATCGTGAAAGCCATCTTTCCAAGGCTATAAAAAAGGCAAATTAATGATTTGATACAAGACTGAATATGAAGAACTTAAGAGTAAAACTTCAAATCAATTAATAACTACATCATTTGCTTGTTAGAATTTTGCAGCCTTTGTTCACTGTCAGACACTTACCATTTGAATTGACTAGGTCAATAACAGCAGTTTTTTGTTTGATTGTCCATGAAAACACATCCGACCATAATGATGAAAATATGTGTTTCAATATATTAAATGTAAATTGTTTTGGCTGCATGACAGTGAAAACATTTTCTTCTTGCTTATTATTTTGTTCTTTTAATTTAATTTTAATTTTTTGTAACTCATACACTTCGCCGATCATAACATTTTTATTTTGTAATTGTTTTTTCATTGAATGTGCCTCCCGTAATTTCTCAAAATCTAGCAGATAAAGAAGAAAAAAAGTTTTCAAAGAATATTCTTTTTCTAGTCATCTAGAATTACCGATTTCTTCATCACATTGAATCAATGAAATCTGATCAAATTCTTGCCCACTTTCTTCTTCATTTGTCATATCTGTAATTATTCTTTTTCTATTTTTAATTAATGTATCTATGTACAATTCTAATTTTATGGAATCAATCTTTTTATCTGTTCTAATTTTTAATATAAAACGATGTTTATCAATTGATTGTAATGTACGCTTCATTTTAATCTGAATATTACCATGAGTTAAGAACGGATGGGCCAATAATTTATCCACAGCTAAAATATAGGAAAGATAGTTTAGTGAAAAGATGTTGTTTGCATTTTGCAGTTAATTTGTATGCGACTGTTCAATTCATTACAATGGTCAATGAGTATCTGTGATGGTGAAAAATTGAGTATATACACGCAAAGGTATCTGACTTCTATATAATTTTTACTAATTAATAATCTCAGAGAAAAAAATTGCTAGAAATCAAATATTCTTTCTTATGCAAACAGACTAAATGTCTTGAAATCTCTAAACGCTTTAATAAACTTACAATCTTTTGATTCAAACTCAATTGTAAAGTGTCGAAAATCATCATCGTTCGTTTCATTAAACACTTCTCGAATACGATGATCTTTATTTACTAATAATAATTCTACAATTTCTCTGTCAACTTGTGGAGCCTCATTTTCTCCCGGTAACATAACGTCTACTTGATTGTCGATAATTCTCATATTTTTCGGCAAATACTGAGGACTGTCATCATTTTGACTACTTGGACGATAAAACGATTGAACATGACCAGACCCTCCTCTTGTTGTTGATCGTCCTGACCGTCGTTGATTTGAAAAAACTTCTCGTTTATTTTGATAAGGTTCATGTCGTGTATTTGTAAATATCTGACTTTGAAATGCTTTTCTACTTCGTCCTCTACTTCTACCATCACCCCGTTGAAATGGACGTGATGTATTTGGATGATTTTGTTGTGGTGGTGTATCATTATCATCGTTAGTTAATTCAACACGTGGCTAGAAAAAATAAAATCAATTAACTGAAGAGAATTTGAAATACATAACGTTTATAGAACACTTAAACAAGTTATTCTACAACGACATTATGGTTAGAGAAGTAAATATTATTAATAGATTCTCGAATATCCTCGAGTAAATTTGTAACTTGGAAAAAGTTCGATCGCAAACTTTTGTTCATTTACCTTCTCACCAAATTGAGCACAACGCAGCAATTGAATTAATAAATCTTGATCAAGTATTTCATAATTTGTCTGCTGTATAATGGCTAAATTATGGGGACTAGTTGTAAGAGCATGTGGAAATGTACATCTTCCACCACGTGTACAGTTTGGAGCAAAACGACAAATATGTAAACGACCACATTGATTAGGTTTACATTGAGAAAGGAAAAAGTCGGTGCATATTTGGATCTAGTTAAGTAAATCAAAAGTATAAAAAGAAGTGAATAATAAAAAATATGGAATTTTTCATACTTTAGGTTCTAATATAATTTGAAGTGAACCATCTTTCAACGATTGTAGTCGAAATAATGATGATATTGATAATATTTCTTTTCTAAGTGAATCCGTATAACATTCAATACCACGAGATATTAATGAACGACTTATGTCTGAATCAGATAGTGTATTTTTTTGTTGCAATAAAAATAATTTTAAAATTTCATTCTTGATACTCATTCTTCTCAGAAGTTTTTAAATTGTTACAAATTTACATATCCAAATTATCGCACTTGAGAGATAACAATCTATTATTAAACAAAAAAATTTCTTAAAACAAATATTTTGTGCATAAAACAATTAAATCTATACCAGTTTGAATAAAAAGTCTATGAATTCATTTTTTAAAAATTCATTTTTTTTCTGGAAATAAATACTTTTTTTTTCCGCCTCAAGTTTCATAAGTTATTCAATGATTCGTAGAAAAAAAAATTCTTTTTAACCTTTCTCTTACTAACTAAACAGCCTCTAATAGAACGAAGAACTCTTTAGTTTTTTTCAATGTGAATTAATTCCTGTTTCTAATGCAAATTATTCTCAAAAAAATAAGAAAATATATTTAAAACAACCTATTGAAAGTTTAGAAATTCCAACGGTATGTTCATATATATAACGGAAAAAAGCTTTCAAAGAGTGTTGTATGAACACGTAAAGAAAGATAAAAAATCTGTATTATATGCATTACAAAACATAACATTTTTTTTATTTGTTTTTTATTTATTTTTGACGAGAAAAATCACATTTTGATAAAAAATAAACTGTATGTCTCGTCGATTTTTAACAAAAAGACGATTTTACATTGTATTTTTATAAATATTTTATTTCAAATGATCCTGGTGTTCAAATTTGTGTATCAGTTGTTTAATAACTAGACAAAAACTTACATTTACTATAGCTCAACTTTTATAGAGAAGAGAAGAGTGTATAGCGTGATTTTAAAATAATGGAAAAAACCCAAAATCAAATAGAAAAGAAAGAAAAACAGAATGAAAAAAAAATGCATGCATTTGTAGAAGTGGATATATATATATATCATTGAAACAAAACATGATGATTGAGAAATAAATACTCAAACTTTTTAGTGTGAAAATAGAGTCACCGAATATAGAGTGCCGGTTTTTTAAACTATCTATTCTGAAAAACGGGCATGATACACATCTTAAATGGTTTAGCAGTCAACCATTGTGCTCAATTCAGAGCAGTGAGACATAGAAAACACTAAGTACTATTTCAAGCTTTTATTTATTATATCTGTATTAAAAACTATTAAAATGACTAAATTTATAAAACGTCTAGTAAATGTGAACAAATGCTTATAAATATAGGAAGAAAACTACATAAAAATGCTGTATAATTTGACTATATTCTAATGAATACACGCTACATTATCACTGAGATTGGATATGAAACACCAATACCTAGAACAGTCAAAATGGGTTTTTTCCTCTTTCTTTTTCCTCTTTTTTTTTGTTTTTTCGTTGTGTTCTGTTCATATGTCGTTTATTCAGTATTGTTTTTCTTCTTTTCTTCATTACATAATATTAACAATAACTACAGTTATTTGATAACAGTTTTGAAATTTAAAGTTTATGGAAAATATATTATCTTATCCTAGAAACATTATTCTGAGTTCAAATACTCTGCAGCATCTATAGTTCAGTCTTTTCATCATAAAATCTACATCTAGTGTACGTCATAATTACACTAAAATATCATCATAGGGATAAAAAAAACCGGATGAAATATTGTTATCGACTCATATTTCTATGTCGCTATAAGACGCTTTAAAGAAAAAACTAGCCCTCTACTTGCGAACCCGATTATACATCGTTCATTTCTTCAACTGATCTTTAAACCGTACGATTTTGTTCAAATCTCAAACTAATTCATAAAGGAGAAAAATAATCGAATCATTTCTTCTCACTATTTTTCATGAGAGAAATACTTAATTATTTTTGTTGTAAAATTGGTCGAACGACTTTGGTTCATATGTTTACTGAATATAACAAATGAAGCTCCACAAGGTATTAATTTCACTGTTGAAAACATTAGTTAAGTTCCTCCACTGTGTCAAAAGTCAATCATTGTTTATTTTATAATACGAATAAAAAAAACAGTTATGTAACGGTACAATTTCATAATCGCTAACAGAATTTGCCAAGGCTTGATTTTTAATTAGCTGAAAAATAAAGGAAAGATCCAGAATAAGATGCTGATGTTCTCATTTTTCTATCACCCATATAATGAATGATATACAAATTATTGTGCAAAGAAATATATTGAAGAAGTTTATCAGCAAATAAAAAGAAAAAAGAAAAATCCACGTTAAAGACAAGCGCGAAAAAAATGCTTAATCTTTTATTTGTTAACGGTGGTGCACACACGAGAATCACAGTGAAAAAATCGAAGAACAATATGTAGACAATCATCACAAAGAGTCCAATGTAATCTGGCAAATCCATATTCCTAATTAAAATAAACACTCATTAAATATAAATACTCAAGTGTTTAAGAGAAAAACTTAGCATCGGTTCCAGATGTTGATTTCAGGCAGTCATTTTCGTACGTTCATTACATTACTCAAATCATCTTTAAACACAAATTTTTTGTTTTGATACGATATTACGTTGCTTTTTGACAATATTTTGTTGTCTACTTATTTCATTTTATTACAACAACAACATCAATAAACACTTTACATCAAAGAAAAAATAGATAACAAGTCAAACAAATCAATACAGATCAGTTTAGGATCTGAATCGAACAACAATATACAAAAGACTATTTTTCAAGTGGTGTATAATTTAAAAGTTTTTCAATTAAATCAACATGTGATAATAACATTCTTCGACAACAATATCGTTTTAAACTTAATACATCCAATGCATCACCCTCCGTATAATCACACCTCAATAATTCAATATATGCTTCCCATTTGTTTCCAATCACTTTACCGCATGTAAAGCATCGAATTGGTATTATCATTTTTAAAAGAAATTGTAAAAATCTAAAATGGTTAAAAATCATGCAATTTTTAAAAACATGCATCGACTCAAGTCAATGAAAGTTTAAAAGATTGGACGCTGGCATAGTTCACACTCTCACATGCCAATCTTCTCCTTTTAGTTAATGTCATATTATAGTCATGCAAGAGAAATTTGAACTTTTTTCCGAGAAACAAGAATTCATAAAATATGAACTAAAACGTTGAAAGCACTGTCCCGAAAACTTATAGCACTAGTTTCCACTATGTCTTTAACAGAAAAAACTTCAAAAATAGGTTGGTGAACTGAAAAACCGCTTTATATAACGTATTGTTTATAAAAAATACTGTGTTACAGTAGAGTGTGATACTGTTGTCCCTTTAAAAGTGTAATGTAGCAGTAGGCTGTTTCCTGGCGTTACAACACTTTTCCTATGACTTTATAAGTGCAGTGAGCACAATATAACACGTCAACAACAGCTGAATCGGTCGTACTAACAGTATGAAAGTTTCATGGATAGATGGGAAAAAAACATTTTAGATGTGAAATTACTTGTCATTGGCAAATAGGACTTGAATATTTTTAACAAGTCCATGAATAATTTTCCTATTAAGGTTTTATTCTCTATCCTAGTACTTTTCTCTAGATTTATGATTAAAAACTTAGCATTTAGTATTCTAGCAGTTACTATACTCTTAGCAAAAAAGCGCATCAGATATGAATGAATGAATGAATGAATTTTATTCACGAAAAGTGAGAGTCATCAAAGGTCATCGACCTATAAAACAATGACTCGAGCCAAACAACAACAAAAGAATCTATAAATAGAAAAAAAAAGAATAAATAAATAAATAAATAAATAAAAGGTAAAAACTAGTGTAGTGTACGAAAACAGATAGTAAAGAAGAATAAAAAAGAAACAAAATAAAAT